TCAAGAAAATGTTTGCAATCAAACAAGAAAAAATGTGGAAAATTCCTCAAATCAAACAGGGCTTTATATTTTTTTATGCCGTTTGCCAAAAGGTTAATTAGACCATTAATCTGTTCGTGTTGTTTGTGTTTTTAGTGAGGAAATGGTACAAGGAAAAATATTCGAATAACAAATCAATTCTTGTGAGTTCGTCATTCTTTTTTAATTTTCTTTTAAGCTTAAATGATTAATGCAGGCAATTTGCTCTTGGAGTATTCACGATAATTTTCTTTACAATTTCAGGTATTCCTTTTGGGAATAAATAATAATATATGTTGGAAAAGCTAGTGGAGATGAGAGAAAGTCATGAGTGATGAGGTAACTGTTTGCAATCCAAGATATTATTTATATTTAATTCTTCTAGAGAAATTTCCTAATGTTATGACAAAAATAAAGAAAAACTCCCTTTGTGCAGAAGGCACGAAAACAAGAGAAGGAATATGAGCATAAATGGTAGATTACAATAAGAATTTGGTAATCCATTTATGAGAAGCATAGTGTTATATAGTATTTAGCCATTGTTTGTCAATCATTCTCTTACATTTTATCACATTATTTTTTCTACAGTACTCATTTTCAACCATACATTCTTCATTAAAATAATATTGTATATAAATCAAAAACTTTTCCTTTTTTTTAACCACACATTTCAACATCAATCACTTTTCCAAACTCCAATTCTTGAAATTAAAGGGTGACAAACAGGGCCTTAGTTTTGATTGCAATGCTGAAATGATTTGTGCCATACTTATTTTTATAGACTTGAGGCGCTGATGATGAGTCTGACAAATCAAAGTCTAAGATTAATGGTGATGAGGACTATGAGAGCAGTGGGGACGTTAGTTGTGATTAAGCTATGATATACAACTTTTTTGCAGTTAAAACTTGGCAACTATGTTGACTTACTAAAAAAAAGGTTGAACCCCAATCTTGAGGGCTTCCATCGCCCTGTCTTTAGAGCTTTGTGAGGGAGGTAAATTGTGGGATATGCCCAGCAAGCCAAAGAACAATAACTGTCTTTACACTGCGCTTACAAGGAGTTTAATTCCATGTTTCAGGAATCGAACCCCCACACTGCGGCTGCCAGCAAGACGTGAGATAACCTCACTCCTATCCTTTGCACCACTAGGCTATGCCTCGAGGGGCAACTATGTTGACTTATTATTTAATGCAGGAGGAAGACAATGAGTCAGCGCTATCACATAAAACTGGATTTTGGATTCAAGCTCAGAACTAACAATCTTACTTCATTAATTTGTGTTTGGGCTATTTTGTAAAATGCTTGAATTCAAAGTGATTTAATTGAATTGGTAAAATTAGGATTTCATGAAGAATTATATATATATTATTCATTTATTTATTTATTCTACAAGTTGCTAAGGTGTTCGTTTTTCTTTTCACCATTGGACAAGTGCCTCTTCCCTACCATTAACTGAAGCAAAAAAGAGAGGAAACACGCCCCTCGGAGCATAACTCAGTGGTGCAAATGACAGAAGTGAAATGGTCTCAATTTTGTTGGTAGCCGTAGTGTAAATGCTCAATTCCTGATATATGAAATTAGACTCTTTGTGGGCACCAGTGTACGGGTAATCTCTTATTCTCTGGTCTGTTGGGACATATCCCGCGATTTACCTTTTTCACGATGATCCAGAGGCAGGGTGGTGGGGGACCTCAAGGTTAGTGTTCAACCTTTAAAAAAGAGAGGAAACACATCCCTTGATTTCCCTTTTCGGTATGCATATTTATTTTGAGGGAACGAGTGAAGGAAGAGGAGGTTGTGTGTATTTTGACCCATGAGCAAAAAATGACGGACTTCAACAAGAATTTGGTAATTCCATATATGATATCATCTACTACAATGAATCATGTGCATCGCACATATCAATAACTAGTTTGATAAATATTTAATGTGTTACAGCAAGCAGCTCATATATTTTTAAATCATTAAAATGTCATTGCTTTCATGAGATCATAACGGTTAAAAATGCTAGAGAGAAAAACATTAATTTATTCAAATCTTTAAAACACCTCTTATGGTGCATGTAGATTTAATTTTTCTATAGATTGACGTGTATAATTTTGACGAAGATGACATTATTGTTTTGTGGATTTCCCTCTGGTCGTCCATCCTCAATACAAGCCTAAGCTTAGAGTTTGATTAGAGACTCGTAGCTCAGTCGTCCACCCGGTCAAGAAAATTGTTAATTTGGCCAATCACTATAAGCCTACGGGTCGACCACCTACGTGGCCCATTTTGTTTATATTTCGTTGCAAGCTCTAATTCACGTCGGTTGATGATGTGTTGTTGACACTATATTTGATTCGTACATAGTTTCAGTTATTTCAAGAGTTAGAGGAGGAGGACAAACCAACTATGAAGGATTTAGCAACACCTTTTTTAAGAGCAGTCGAGGAAACTGTCCCCTTGGTTGAGCCCCATTTTTGCCAAGAAAATACATTTTTGAATAGTGTAATGATGTAAATTGTGTGGTTAAAAAATAAGGGAAAGTTTTAGATTTTCGTGTTATATTATTTTATTGGAGAATGTGTGGTTTAAATGACCTTAAAACAGTATTTAAGAATGTATTTTTTTAAAAAAAAGGGGCTCAAACAAGCGCTATATTAGTTAAGTGAAGCCAACGTTCTACCAAAGCAAACAAAAAGATTTATGGCAACTGAGGATGATCAAAGTCACATTTCACTTATTATCCTTCCATTCCCATCTCTTTTTGATTAAATATCATTTTAGTATCACGTGGATGATCAAATTTGGAGAATATTACCTTACTTCTATGATATGTAAGCACTACTTACAAATAACAATTTTTTTTTTTTTAAAGTATCATACGTTTGTATAATGATATTTGTAAGCAGTGCATTACAAACAACAACCTATGCTTACCTATTTGCTGTAAGCATATGTTGTAGTAAAATCTCCAAACATTTCTTTTCCTTCTTAGTATTGTCTGATACAATCACATAGAAATGGATAAACTCTCCTGAAATCCTCAATTTGGCCACATACTGACACCTAATTCACCTTTGCAAATCCATAAGCATTGGGCTAGTGCAAAAACAAAGACCAGAGGAATCTAATTTTCACTCTAATAAATAAATAAATCAATTTAAATCAAGAAAAAGCTTTGCCCTTTCTTCTTCAACCTCAAAAAGAAGCATAGTCAATATCATTATTTACATTTCACAATATAATCAATTATAAAGATCAATTTGAGAAAAATAAAATAAAATAAAATAGTTTATTGGCTCAAAACCCACCTAAACTTTTACCTTATTGCACAATACTCCCTTCCTTTTCATATTGACAAAAAACCCTTGTATGAGCTCTGAGATGCTGAAGACTTACCTATTGTCAATTTTTGCTAGTTTAGACGTTAAAAATAGTAAAGATGGTCAAATTAGAAAGGAATAATTGAAGTTGTGATTCCAAAATTTTATTTTTGCAAATTATGCCCAAATATTTTATTTGTGCCACAATCTCAAACCTTTAAAAATTCATCTTCTTCGCCAATCTTGAAATGGCAATTTTATATTATTTCATATAAAATAACTAAAATCAAAAAGAAAAAAATCTGCACCCTGGTCTTATCCCACGCCACCCCCACCCTACCCTACCATATCCCCCTACACTTCATCTTCTTCCCCCAAGAATCACCGACTAGCTAAAACCTAGTAATGTGTAATTTTTAAGAACAAAATTGACTTTTCAGAACTCCAAAATGGAGGACAATGTACAAGAAACAACAAACAAGAAAATCCCAATTCGAAGACTACTTCGTTATTCAAAAGAATTGATAAAAAAAAACACCTTTTGTCCACTCCTCATGAGCACTAGGGCTATAAATGGAGCAGATCTGTCCAAATCCGATTCGATCCATTAAGAATAATTTTCCTATCCGATCTGATAATCCAACAAATATTTGATTGTTAAATCCATATTCGATTTGTTATGTTATCGGATATCCGATTCGAAAATTCGATCCGAATTTGGCAAAAAAACAAAAAAAAAGTCCACCATTTTTTTGGATAATATGATTTTTTTCCCAAAAAATATTTTAACTATCTTGATGGACTCACCTATTATACTAGAAGGCTCAAGTCAAATTTTTTTCCAAGTGATGCTCATTTAGTTCCTTTTTAAAGGAGACTCCTCTTGGAATGTTTTAATAATCTTTCAATGTGGGATACTAACTTTTTAAATATACTCATCTTCCAATATTTTAGAGATCTTTCAATGTGGGATATTAGTAATTGTCAAGTGTTACTAGTTTATTTTATTATTTTCATTTTAAATTATTGCCTTAACAAGATTATAATCACAAATAATATCAATTTAAACAATGTAAATTATTTTTGGACATATTAATTATTAGTTTTTGATGTTATAAAACAAATTACTATAGTTATTTTTATCTTATTTTAATTAATAAAAAAATTAAATCTCTTCAACTATTTCAATTAACAATATTATTCTATTATCTAAAATTATTTATTATTTGAAAATTATGTGTAAAGCATATTATAAGTTTCAAAATAGAAAAAAATTATGTTTACTAGATTATGATATAATATATAAAATATACTATATTATTATAATAAGT